GGGGGGGGGGGGGACGATAGGCGATCGAGTTCGCCTGTAAATAAACGGATAACGACGTCCCCTATCGGGCGGCCTGCGAGCAGAGGTTTGGCCTGTTCAAGCCGACCGGTCGTTCGCGCGCACTCGAAAATTTTGGCCCCGCCGCATGGTTATTGGGTTATTACCTAACTAACCTCGGAGACTCGTTGACCCGATTTTTTTTTTTCGAAATTCCCAAACTTTGAAATTTTGTACTGCCCGGGCTTCTTTATGAGAATTTACCTGACTGCATGTTTTTAGCTATACTCACAGTGAACTTTGAGTATCCATCGTTGCTCGATCGCAGATTCCGGAAGACGCGGATTCTCCGCACGGCACGCGAGGTACTTGCCTTCATCTTCTATGCTGGGTATCCATTCCACGATACTCACACTCGTACTACCATTCTGAAACTAGAATAACGCATTTGTTAGGAAATGTCGCAAATTTCGAACGAGTGTTCGAAGACTCAGGGAACTTTAGTCAACAGGAAGGCCGATCGAAGGTGAGTTAAAATGGTACCGGCTCATGGCGTTCCGATCGGACATTTTATAAGTAAATTTGAAACTTCTTTCACGGGAAGTAGAATTATGGATGCTGCCCTGCCCCGAGAGGATTCTCAGAACATCCTTGTCCTTCGACGAACTGAACTTTTCTTTTGAGATGAGGTTGGCGCGTGACCGTAGTCGGCTACGTTTGGACTATTTTTAGTCTATATAGGTTTTTGGAATAAAAAAGATTGCGATTGTGATAAACTGAGAAAAAAGGGAAAAAGGAGAATTTGATTGCATTCACATTTTATCGACAATTCCGTGTCTTCTTTATATTCTTCCGTTCGCCGTCCAACCGAAAGTCCACAAATAGTCGCAGCTCGTCTCGTCAGAGCGATCAATATCAATTTTCGAATGATTAGCATGCAATTAATTCCCTCTCACAAAATTAGCATTCGCCCCGGGGGCGAGCACAATAAATTGATGGCATGTAAATTGGTGAATTGTACTGAATTTCATAACAAAACGGACGCGCGCCACTGCGCTGGATTAATTCAACGGGCGGAAATTTGGCGACGGCCATTTTCATGCTAATTGTCCGATTTAAAAGGGTGCGATTGGAGGTGCGATTTTTCGTCGCGTGCCCTGACGCCAGTCATTCCTCCTCTCTCTCTCTCTCTCTCTCTCTCTCCCCCTCCTCCTCCTCCTCCCCTATCCCAGAGAGTCCGAACCAATCAGTTTCACGAATAATTCACAACATCGATTGTCCAATGCATAACGCTCCAATCCCACCTGATCTCTGCTTTTGCCTTTTCTTTCTTCTCTATTGGAATTCAATTGGGCACAATTCCCTATCAGGTAGTCATTTTCAAGTATACCGATTACAACGTCCCGCGAACGTGTGCAAAGGGACGCACGCGGACACCTTCGAAATCAGTGGTTGAGGCTTCCAACGTCTTTCGAATTATTTCTGGAATATCTTTTTACAGTCTATTTCCATAAGAATCATGGCGAGAGAACCGTAAAGTGGAGGGTCGATGCGCGTCGCGTGAGAAAATATATTCTTGCCAGAGTGCTATTAAAGTACTTTCTATCCCTCTTGGACGTATATTTATCCGCATACGCAATCCCGGGCCCGTACCTTTTACGCTGCTGTGCAAAATCATTTTTTAACCTTCCTATTTGTATGTACGAGCCGTTTCTGCCGAAGGACGAAATTGAAATTAAATCTCTTGCGCCGGTATAGCGAAGCACGTTCGCAGAATTTACAAAATGTCTACAGTCCGCCAGTAGGAATCACAGCCCAGGAAATGGCTCACAAAAAGGCTTAGGACTGATCGTTCGTCTCTCTCTTTGAGCGTATGTTTGCAAAATGGATACATCCAAACTTTATTTGGCTTTTTCATTCTTTCATGCTTTTTTCTCATTCATACGAATTGCGAACCGAAATCAATTCCATTTTTGTCGGGCTCTCTTGAAAAAAAGCAATATTAAAATAGCGACCAACGAAAATACAAACTGTTTTTCACGGGAAAATAACGAAACCATTTTTAGTTCTTTTCATATTTATTCCTTCGACGAGAAAAACTTAATCAATATTCTAATCAAACGTCTGTTGGGATTTATTTATAATTTTACTCGTTTTCCAATTTCTACGCCTGACATCTATAACAAATTATTCTATTTTCAGGACGAAACGAGGAAACTGTGGTTCTACGTGTAGACTTCGTTATACTGTCGTATATCCTCAAAGCTGAGTTTTCTTTTACAAGTATCTGAGAAAGAATTGCGTTGCTCGTGGCTGACAGAGGTAATCGGATCTGAGACAAAAAAAAAGTCTATTAAAGTATTAAATAATTTCGATAAAATTTCATTAGACGCATCAGCAAAATTTCTACAAGTTGTTATTTATAAAACATGACATTACCTGATCGTCGCGGGCAAGCGGATACATTATAACCGCGTCTGTTATTCGGAAATGTGAAAGTTTATTCAGATTAATGCAAGGAGTTAAAATTATATTGCGCGACGTATCATTATCGCAGATCGATCAGTAATGATTTCACGATGCAGATCGTAAAATAAAAAATGCACTGAACAAGTATGAACACATAGAGCAGGTATTTTAGAAGCAGGCACGGTAGAAATATTTTATTGAATGACGATCACGAGCAGTCGAGCAAAACTTTCCATTGAAAATCGACCAGACGAAATATACCGTTACGTATTCCTTATCCTTTGCTTGGCAGATTCATGTTCGCCCGCAGCAGCAGCAGCAGCGGCAGCACAGACGATATCCGCCGTACCAGAATCCAGTAGATATATGTATAACTAGTAGTAACGGGCGCGTTCAGCCAGACAGCCGAACGATGCGCGCGAAATTCTTCGTCGTAACAAAAATTCCATTGCGAATACTTCCCTTCTAAGTATCTCACATATTTCGCATAGTGGCGGAAACTAGCAACTCGGTTGAAAGTATTGATTTTCGGGGTGCGTCGGCTATGCGTCCGTTCGCTCGGGTATGTTGCATAACAAAAACGGGTTAATAATAAAATAATGATAGACAAAAGGTAAAGTAGCGAGGAAAAAGGATTAATCGCTGGAGTAAAATTATTCAGTCGTTGTCGAGAATCGATGCTTTCAGGCTTGTCGCTGGGCAGGGAATTTTTTTTTTTTTACAAACACAGAAACCAATATCTCAAGAAGAGACGGAGTAAAACAAAATGGACGAAGAAAGTAGACACTTTCGAACTGCTATTCGATGCTGCAGCTACTTGGATGTTGCTTTTAACGGCTTAGAGAGTCGCTCCTGTTTCCAGCGTTTTCTCCTGACATTTTTTTACCTTCTTTCAGTATTTTTTTTTACTTTTATTTCGAGTACTGGGCTGACATTCCGTCGAGTGGAGAAGCACGTAGGTCCAGGGTAGCTTTTCAAAAGGAAAGAAAAAGCAAATGTAATTCGCAGGAGAATTAGGGGAAAGGTTAACGCCGGCTCGGAGGAGAAAGAGAATGCCTGCTGCGCGCTAAAGCCCGCTTATAGAAAATCCAGCTGCGTGTTTCGTGCTTTTCTCACGAGAATTTCTCCTCGGGCTCGTCTGACGTTTCTCTAAATCCGGGGGTAATTTTCGTTTAAGTTAAAGCTACCCCTTTCTTCCGTGAACGGTACGAGCTACTCCGATGCTCAATCCGAGAAGCCGAGAGGGTGGCTGAGGCGAGAAGAACTGCTAGGAACCCTCGTGCGAAAGATAAGTCATCCCCGTCCGGAATTTTCGGCCTGTTGCTAGTGTCATCATTATTATCCGCAGTGAGGCTGACACGTCGAAGGACTGACCTGCTTTTTGATCCTTTGTGGCGAGCAGCTCAAGCTAATTATTCGTTTCGGTCCCTTTAATGGCTCCGCGAATTACGGGTTTCCCGGAATTTCTCACTTAGATTCTACCGCGCGGCAGATTTCACTAATTTCAACTAATTATTATACGGATAAGGCACTTAATAGTTTTAACGTCCTTTGTAGTTCGAGGGGGGCAAATCAATGTAGAATCGATACCTGCAGAAATGGGGTTGCGTAGGTGGATATCGCGGCAATGCCGCACTGCAGACGAAGCTACGTTAGCCTTGTTATTCGGTCTAAACAAAGAAATAAGGATGAGCTCCGAGAACGGAGCTGCACATTGAAACTGGTCCTGGATCACAGTCACAGTCACAGCGTGAGCTGCAACCTAATCAATCAGTGTGCCATAGGGCTGGCGAAATTAGTAATTGGACCTTTTGCTGCAATTGATCGTAGCAACTGACACTGCTCGAATAGAATATTTCGAGTAAGGGTGAAGTAATGCCTCCGTCGGAGCGAAGGAGAAGGGCGGGCGAGGAGGAGGGAG